GGATGAAGCGAACCATGCGGGTTTGGATCGGGGTGAGGCGCCAGGCCATGAGCCCAAGAAGTGCAAAGTAGAAGCTGTTGCCAAGAAGGTACAGGTAGAGCACAAGAAGCAAGATCCATCGCTCCCACGGACGCATGAGCGCGGGATGTGGGCCGTTTTGCAACGACGGTTGCTCAATTCGTGTACCAGAATCGGTACGTGCCGATTCTGTCAACCGCCACAAGTCGCATGTCTTATGATTTGGATGACGAGGCCTCGAACGGCGTCATGCGGCGAAAGCACATTCCCTAAACCAGTGTTGACGTCGAGTCGCATCGTCGTGACTTGTTGAGCCAGCCAGATAGCACTACCCGAAGGCTAACTGTCTTGGGTGTGCGACACGAAACCAACGTTATTGTCAAGTGCCTTTTGGGGCGAATTGCGAAACGTAAAAAAGGTGCTAGCGTGTACTTTAATGGAGCGCGGTGGCTAGGGCAGGTTGAAAGGATAGCCCACGAACACTGCTTGGTATTAGTGAGATTCGCAACGCATGTCTAGGGACGAGAAAATGGGGCTTGTCCCGAGCTTCTCTCGTCATGGACGGCAATGGCCCTGTGAAGGTACTACACGTAGTTCTTCAAGTTTCATCAACAATGAGCTCTCGACGTGCCACGTACCCGCTAACATCGCGTTCTGTTGTTGCGCAGCCAAGCAGCTCGTAAACATCGCGAATTACGCGGCGAGAAGCAGCATGGTGGCTTGGTGCTGCATGGTCAAGTAGTGCTGCATGGTCAAGTGGTTCTGGAACTGGGCGTGCAGCGTCATCATAGTGAGCATTGTAGAGCAGTCGAGTTCGGATGGCATGTGTTCCGGATTTCCGTTGTGCATTGTGGTTAGAGACCCGAATGACAAGTGACGACGAAGCACCTCTCAGAGCATCTTTTATATTCGAGTGTAGAGGTGGTGCGTGTTGTTGAGCTTCAACTTGAACTGTCCTCGTTCGAACGCTCGTGTGAGAAAAGAGAAGCCAGACCGACGGTCCAGCCTAGGGACGGTATAAGTCGGGTGAAGAAGGGTCGTCGTGTGACTCTCGTGTGGTCAAGCATACTGTGTGCTCGATACCATGTACATTATAGCAACCGGTGGGTGTGAAGTGCCTTGACACCCGAGTTCAACTGGCAGACGACACCAAGATCTTATCATATCTTTATCCGGATCCGGCTAAACTCAAATGATCCCCTGAGTGTCGTGATCGTGATTGGATTGCCGGATAGTCATTGACAAACTCACAGAGCGACAACGACGCGTCCGCGGGGTGAGCCATGACCGTTCACTTCTTGGTCCAACAACGTACAGTCGGTCCACCAAAGAGCAGAAAACGTGGGCCAGGTCCCTTTCGCAGACAAAGCACACAGCAAGTATCGGCCTACTTATTGTCCAGAGGCGTCGTGCGGAACCCAAGATCCTTGCCTCGCATATGAGATCCAGCGGTAGCCAAAATACAAAGCAACACAAGACTAGCATTCGATAAACTTAGTTTTCAAGCACGATGCGGAAGCGCGCTTGACCGTTGTGGACCTTGTGGAGGGCGGTCGCGGCCTCGGCCATCGGCATCACCTGCACGATCGAGCGCACGTTCTTCTCGACAGCAAACGCCAGCATCTCTTCAATCTGCGCCGGTGACCCGATGAGCGACCCGACAAACGTAATCTGTCGCGGCACGACCGAGAACGCATGGAACGCGATCGGCTTTTCGGGGAGACCGACGAGGATAAACTTGCCTTCGGTCGCGACGAGGTCAAAGAGCGCGCCCCAGTTGGTGTCGTCGCCGTACGAGGTGCAGAGGAGGATGTCAAAGCTATGCTTGGCAGCGGTCGCAGCCGCCGCGTCGTTGTAGTTGAGAAAGTGGTGCGCACCAAGCAGCTCCTTGCACTCCTGCTCCTTGCGGTTCGACGACGAGACCGCCGTGACCTCGGCGCCGAGGGCCACCGCCCACTGGATACCCAAGTGACCGAGGCCGCCGATGCCGAGGACACCGACCTTCTTGCCCGGGCCCGCGCCGTGCGTCTTGAGCGGCGAGTACGTGGTGACACCCGCGCACATCATGGGCGCCGCGATCTCGGACGGGAGCGCGTCGGGGATCGGCACGACAAAGTTGAAGTGGCACCGGTAGTAGTCGGCGTACCCGCCCTGCGTCGTGTAGCCCTCCGCGGTCTTGCCGTTGTACGTGCCAATGACATTGGCGCAGAGCTGTTCGCGCTGGCGGTCGCACTGCTTGCAGTCGAGGCAGCTGCCGCACTGCGCACCGACACCGACGCGCGTCCCGATCGCGTACTTGTCGGCATCGACCTTGGCGCCAACGCGGACGACGTGGCCGATGATCTCGTGGCCGACGACCATCGGGTACGTGATTTCGCCCCACCCGCCCGTGAGCGTGTGAAGGTCCGAGCCGCAGACGCCGCAGTGCGTCACCTGGATCTCGACGTCGTAGTCTTCGTCGAACGGCTTGGCGTCGTACGTGTGGGGCTTGACGTCGAGCGTCGGCTCAAAGGCGGCTTGGCCGTGGTACACGTTGTTGCTGGCCATCTTGGTCGACAAAGGAAAAAGGAAAAGTGAGAGGTTGAATGAAATGTCATTTTGTCCCACTCGAATCGCGTGATGAGTAGTATCGTCGACTAAAACATCCTTCAGTCGAAGTCCTTTGGGTATGCGAAGGGCGAGTAATTGAGACGACTGGACTAATCAAGCTGGTACTCGACATCGCAAACGACGACGACGTCATTCTGCGTCTGTACGAATCAAAACTGCGTCGTACAGTGTATTCGCTCCACCTAGAGCCATGTCGATGGGCCCTTGGTGCCATGGTCACGAGTTGTGTCAACTCCGGAACGTGCTGAAGGACACCCACGGATCGATCCCCGCTGACCGATGATTTTTGTGGGATATTTTGTACATTCTCATATCTGTAGCGCCAAGGTAGCTTACGCAGGGTCTCAATATGAAAGACAAGGTCTAACGGAGAGTCTACTTAAGCTCTTGAATGACCTGCGGAAGTCTCCGCTGTGTTGATGTCTCAGGATGCCGCGCACGGCGTCCCACATAACAAATCGATTTTGCGGATGCCACTTCAACACACACTATTTCCTATTCAATATACTATTTAGCGTATATCGTGGTGTTATAATCTCTCGATAACTTGTTACGGATTCCGGCCAACCCGAAACCCTGCGTGGGCGGCGTGTTATTTTATGAGGTGATATTCCGACTCGATCATGCGCTGGCCCAGCGTCTGCGGCCTCGTGGCCGTCACCGCTGCGTCGACGACCGCCGGCCTCGATCGCCTTGGCCTCGGCGCGAGGAACCTCTCGCTCTCGGTGCTCGAGATCACGACGTCCGTCGCCAAGGAGGCGCGGAGCGTGTACGTCGCGCCCTCGCTCTTTGGCCCGACCCTGCCCGCCGCCGTGACGGCCACGTCGTACCACGCGCTCACGCTCGGCGCACCGCTGCTTGGCTGCTCGCCGCTCACCAACAACGTCACGGGCGCGGCCGTGCTCCTTGACCGCGGTGTCTGCGCCTTTGACGTCAAGGTCCGGCACGCGCAGGCGGCCGGCGCGGCCATGGTGCTGGTGCGCGACACGCCGGCCGCTGCGCTCACGCACCCGAGCCAGATCGACTGCGCGCTTGGCAGCGGCGACTACTGCGAAGACAGCGCGACGTGCGTTTCGTCGACGTGTGTCTACTCGCCGCTCCACGACGCCCGGTGCTGCGTCGAGAACGTCTTGATCGCCATGACGGGTGACGGCAACGCGTCGACGAGCGACATTACAATTCCGAGTGTGTACCTCACCGTCCTCGACGGCGCGCTCGTGCAGGGCTACATGGAGGCGCACGCCGGCGACACGTTCGTGACGGCCTCGATCCCGACGACCGAGAGTCCTTGGAACTGGAGCATGCTGCTTATCTGGGCGCTCGGCGTCTCGGTCGTCGTGTTTGCGTCGTACCACTCGGCGGCGCGCGAGCGCTTCTACAGCCAGCACGTGGTCGCGACCGCGATGGAGGTCACGTCGCTTCTGTCGCCGTCGACCACGCACGCAGACGCGTTCGTCGACGTCGGGTCGTACGACGACGAGGGTGACCAGCCATTGCAGCTCACGGCCAAGCACGCGCTTCTCTTCCTCCTCATGGGCTCGGCCATGCTCCTGATCATGTACTACGTCCACCTCCTCGTGCTCATCCAACTCATCTTTGCGACTGCGTCCTGCTTTTGCGTCACGTACCTCGTGACGTACCCGCTCGCACTGCGCTGCTGCAGCGACTCGCTCCCGACGCTGCTGCTTGCGACGCTCCCGAGCCTCGCGCTCGTCGTTCTCTGGTTCCTTGCGAACAGCCATCCGCACATTTGGGTGCTGCAGGACGCCCTTGGCATCTGTCTTTGCGTGGTGTTTGTCGACTCGATCCAGCTCCCGAGGTACCTCTCTTCTGCAAGCACTCGGCTCATGCTGTCCTACCTTTCTTAGCTTGCAGATCGCCACGTACTTGCTCGCAGCCGCCTTCTTCTACGACGTCTTCTTCGTGTACCTCTCGCCCTACGTCTTTGGCTCCAACGTCATGGTCGACGTCGCCTCTCGCGCCGGCCAAGTCTCGTCCGAGATCAACGGTATTCTTACTTGGATACAACTGGATACGATCGGATACTATCCAAACTCTAGATTTCTGCACGCGGCACCCCGAATCGGTCGCGTGTGGGCACGTGACTGTGCCGCTCGTGCTGAGTCTCCCACTGGTGCACTCGATCTACGGCGGCAGCTCGCTCCTCGGCCTCGGCGACATTGTGCTGCCGGCCCTCCTCGTCTCGTTTGGGCTGCGCGTCGACTACTGCAGCGGCCGCCCCTTGCGCTTGCGCCACTCGTACTACGTCGTCCTCTGCGTCGCGTACGCCGCCGGGCTCCTCGCCGCCAACGTCATGTCGATCGTGCTCCAGCAGTACGTGGCCGGCCAGCCCGCGCTCATGTACATTGTGCCGGCCATGCTCGGCACCATCTTCGTCCGCGCGAAAGCGTCCGGCGACTTGGACGTGCTCTGGGACGGTCCGGCCTTCAGCCCCTAAGCTAGATCGAAAAAGAGGCAAATTGTCTATCGTGTAACTAAGAGTCTAATGCGCGAGGCGGGCCGCGCCGACGGCGACGGCGACGTCCGGGTCAATGTGGGCGTTGGGTTCGCGGCCAAAGAGCGCGCCGAGCGCTTCCTGGATCCACGGAATGCGCGACGAGCCGCCGACGAGCACGACTTCGTCCACGTCGCTCGGGGCCATGCCGTTCCCACTCAGCATCTCGTGGATGGGCGAGAGGGTGCGCGACAGGAGCGGGGCCACGAGCGCTTCCCACTCGACGCGCGTCATTTCAAGCGTCGCGAGGTCGCCGGCCGCGTGCTGCGGCGTCGCTGCCTCGACCACGCACGACGCAGCGGCCGACGGCGTCGCGCTCAGGTCCCGCTTGAGCTTCTCGGCCACGCCGCGCATGCCCGAGACCGTGCAGGGGAAGGCGCTCGCGTCCGAGGTGCTACGTGATCGTGGGCAAACCGGCCTTTGCGGGTGACATACCGTGCGAGGCTCGAGAGCGCTGGGAGCGCCGGTGTCGCCAGGAGTGCTTCAAAGCGCGCCACGAGATGCGTCGCCAGCACGTCGTCGAGGTCCTCGCCTAGCAAACGATGGGAGAGGGAGCTTGTGCGGAAGGCGGTACCGCCGAGGTGATTGTCGCCGGCCGTGTCGATGACCTCGAACGAGCCGTTCTGGAGGTAGAGCAGCGAGACGTCCAACGTGCCGCCGCCAAAGTCAAAGACAAGGACGTAGTGCACGTTGGGCTTGCGGTCCAAGCCGTACGCGAGCGCCGCGGCGGTGGGTTCGACGAGCACGTTGGCGACCTTGAGCCCCGCAGCCTTGAAGGCAGCGACCGTCGCGAGTCGCTGGTCCGTGTCTGCGACGACCCATGAGCTCACGCAGCAGCAAGGAAGACGGTACCAAAGCTGGCCGGCACGGCAATCACGGCCGAGTAAATCTATGCAATGACGATGACGCGGCAAGCGGAAGGTACGTTGGTGTACCTGGTCATGCCCAAGGTGGCGCATCGCCGAGGCCTTGAGCTGCGACACAATGTGCGCGCCAACGTCGATCGGCGACGCGCAGCGCGTCGCGTGGCCCGTCACCGAGAGCGGAAAGCACACGCGGTTGGCCTCGTCGCGGTCAAGACCAAACTCGTAGTGCGACGCTTCAGTCTCGACGGCCGCGTCAAACCTACGAGGCATGAGCGCAAGACTCAGAGTCGACGGACGCACGCGCGGCCGATGAAGCGCTTGGCGTTGAAGATCGTGTGGCGCGGATCTTGGCTGCGGTACTGTCGCGCCGAGCGGCCCACGAGCACCTCTAGACGACGCTAAGACCGAGCGAATGGACGAGAGACGACGCACCACCGCCATCCTTGAACGCAACGATCGACGGCAGAAGCGTGTAGCCACTGGCGTCCGGAATCACGCTCACATTGCCCTTCTGGTTCACGGCGACGACCGAGTACGTCGTGCCGAGGTCGATGCCGACGGCTACAGAGCGCGTCAGGAGGCCGCTAGATGGGCCATCGCTTACAGTGTTCCTTGCCCGTGTACCCGGACCGCGCGAGGAAGATGCCGATGAGGCCCACGAGCGCGGCGAGCGCAAAGACGACCGACCCCGGTTGCATCGCGCTAAACTCTGGATGACGTGGCCGGACTCGAAGCCAACCCGCACCCGCCCGCCAGTTTAACCGCCAAATATAAAAACGCGTTAAACGTGCCGCTGAAAACCGGTGCATGCACGTCCGTCCCACTCTGCGCCCATGCCCCAACGTGACTTTGAGGGCTGCAAAGCTGGGCTGCAGGACATTGGATCGCGAACTGATCACGAACGACCGCTGCGGCCCGAGGGGCAACGCGTCGTTCTACCTAATAAACGCGTTTGGCGTGGCTCGGCCCAAACCGGTAGCCCAAGAGCGAGCGCCAGCATACAAAACTACGGTACTCCGAGCGGTCATGGCTGCATGTGTCCTGTGCTACAGCGCACAGTTCGTACCTCTGGAGAGAGCCCACGATTCCTGATCTTCAGTGTGCAGGCCGTCCATATATCATAGCAAGCTGCTGCTCATCGAAGGACATCCAGCTTTGGCCCACGCTGCAGGCTGCAGACACGTTGCAGAGGGGCGGTGGTCCCAGTTGTAGGAAGACGAGTACGCGAAAGAGGCAGTTTGGACATGCATGACGCGACCACGTGGTGGTTCTTTCAGCGCCACCATCTGTGCGATGCAGCACTCTCGCACCCGCGCCATAGGCAAAGGGCGGAGCATGCGCCGAGCAGCGTGGTGCCTCGTCTTCCTCTTGCAGCGTAGCCGCCCTACCTCCATGCGTCGTGTGCTCACTGTATTTAGACGTCGTCGCGACAACGGACCTCTGCTTGCTCGCCAGCACGTGCCTTGCCAACGGTGTCGGGCCCTGCACCGTCGCGCCGTGTCCGGTATACTACCTTGATCGACCCTGTTCTTTCCGAGACAACTTATCTATGCAATAGCCTTGCCTGTACCTGACACCGAGCGGGGCCTTTGCGTGCTATGCCAAGGTCGACCAAGACAACTGCCCAATGCCCGGTGCTCACGACTGCAGTACGTCTCACGGGTCGACGCATAAGAACTGACATGCAAACATCAGCGCACATCAACGGTGGGTTATTCCGACACCCGAACCACCCCACGGGGCAGCTCGATCGAGCGACTCCAGCGCCATCCAACGCTACAACGATACCATCGAACGCAACGACGCTGCGGCCCAACGCGACAAGTGCAGCCGCGACAACCGCACCTCCACGTACACAAGTCTACGGACTAAGTGCAAAGTGGTGACGTGGCACTCTTATGATAGGATCCACCGAAACGTCCGCATCGAGTACCAAGCCGTTCACAGCCACCAACTTTATTCTCTTTGGCGCGCTCGCGATTGCGATCGTGATCGCTGTCATTTACGCTGTGACCATGCGCCATCACCGGCGACAGTCCAAGCGCCCTATCACCAACACATCCTTTGTCGTCCCACATGGCACCAAGGGCGAGAGCATCCCGGTGCTCGAGACGATGACGGGCCGGCGGCAGCTGCGGGTGCTCGACTCGACCGAAGCCTTCTCCATCTACACGCTGCGCAACCTTCCGCATCCGTCGGACGATTCGATCGACAACTATGTACTCGAAGACAAGACGTCCTTTGGGAACGCCCGCGATACGCAAATGACGATCAACAGCCTCATGGACAGCTCGTACCAGCTGCCCAAGCACACAAAAGCGCCGACGCCGCCGTCGTTCCACCGTCTGCCCGACAAAGAAAACGAGTTTTAACACTGTCGATAGACCTATTTAACCATTGTGAAGAAATCGTAGGGGTAGGTTCCGTATCGTCGGCCGAGTTACACCGTGATAAAGATCTTTTTGCGGTACATAGCGTAGGCGATCGCGACCCAAGACGCGGTGCCGATGAGGTTGGAGAGCGTCCACGCCGTGTGGGTCTCAGCGTGCTCGTACGAAAAGGGGAAGAAGCCCCCGAGCGTCTCGTGCTAGGCACAGCCAATAAACCATCGATAGACAATATGTACGTACCCCGACGTAGAGCACGATCGCGTTCATGCCAGCGTACGAGAGCGGCGCGCCCGACCAAATGCCAAACTTGTCGACAAGGAGGTACATGACGCAGAGCCCAACGCACGCGAGCCCCGACGTCACACAGACGAACGAGAGACTCCACAGATTCTTGTTGATCGGGATGAAGCCGTCGTTGATCGTAAAGCCGCAGAGAACGAGCCCGACGAGGCATGAGACACCGCCTGCGCCACACAAAAGCACCGTCTTGCGCTTCTACGCGAGGGTGAGACGCCACGATATGCACTGTCCAATTACCCAGCACGCTGTATTGAGGAAGGCGCCGCCGACCACGTAGCCCAAGTACGTCAAGACCGACGCCGAGAGCCAATTGAGAAAGCCCTCGGGGTCCCACGGACCTTCCGGGCCGTACACCCCCATGGGGGTGCCCCCCTGCAGCATGTGCTCGTCGCCAAAAATGTACCGGTCCACGACCCGATGGGCGCCGCCGAGGCAGTCGCGGTACTCGCCAAAATCACCATCGCCACCCGGCCCTACAGAAACCATCGTCCACTGATTTGGCTCGAGATCCGTACCAAAGTACCCCGTCGGGCAACCGGGTACGGGCAAGAAAAAGATGAGCCCGAGGTAAATGGCCGTGACGCCGAGAACGAGGCCGGCTTGGATCAGGTGCGTCTGCACTGGCGTCTTGCCCGACACGCCCGCGACCACGATCAGCGTCACGAGCAAGTAGGCAAAGGCGAACGTCTGCAGGACGCCAGGAACGCGGCACGTGTCCAGGTCGTGCATGTTGTTGACAAAGAGCCCGAGGCAAAAGAGCTTGATCGCGCGGACGAGGCTGCTCCGCACAAGCGTCCAGAGCGACGTGCCCTTCTTCACATGACACCGCATGCCGATGTTCATGGTCACGCCCATGATCCACACAAACCTACCAGAGAATGACGCTTAGCTCCTGAGAGGAAGATGGTGTACCAAGGGAAGACGACGTCGGCCGGCGTGAGCCCGTTCCACGTGGCATGCGTCCAGAACCAGTACCGTCCGCCGCCGAGGTTGGTGAAGATCATGCACACGATCGTGAGCCCGCGGAAGACGTCGAGACTCACAACGCGCGTCTTGGCCGGCGGTGGCGGCGCGAGCAGTGGCTGCTCGTGGGTGTCGTCATCGCTGCGTGCGTCGTCCCCGCAGTAGTCAATAGGAGCCTCGAGGTCGCCCGTGGACGACCTAGAATGTCCTGCGTTAGGCCACAAGGCGAGCGCAGGATGTGTACGGTGCGGAAGCATGGGCGCGGCGCTGCTTGTAGAAGAAGAGCCCAAAGCACGAGAGCAACCACGCAAGGAGCACGAGGCCGATCACGAGGAAGATGCGCGACGGCGACGGCTCGACCGTCGTGCTGAACGTGACGGCCACGGCGTCGCCCGTCGCGTCCTCGACACGCATGGCGTAGACGCCCGTGTCAGCAAACGTTCGGCGCTCCGACCAGACCTAGGGCGCAATGAGGTCGATCGCTACATGGCGTGCGCACCGCCGTGTCGTTGTCGTCGGCGCGCAGCTCGAGGCTCCACGGGTACACCGTGTTGAGAAGGTACAGGCTCGCGTCTGACGAGAGCGTCGAGCAGTTGACGTCGGTGCAGCCATCCGGAAGGAGGCGCACGAGGGCACACTAATAGCAGCGTCGCCGTGAGCCACCGCAGAAGCGCGCGGCTTCGTACCTTGTGGCAGTCGTCGTTCTGCCCGAAGAGCGCGAGGCTGGCGGCGCCGGCGTAGCTCACCGAGATGTTGGCTCGGTCCATCGATCGCTCCTTTGGCTGCGCTTTGGCAGCTCCTTTGCACGAATCGAAGCACCAGCTGGACCAGCATGGTCCACGCGCGCGCGTTTCAAAGCGCATTCAATACATTATATTTGATAAATTGACGGCTGGGTTCGCGCACCTCCAGTTCGATAGAGTCAAGTGCGTGGCAGCACGAGCGTCCGGCGTTCCAGTGTGCTGGCTCCCGCGTGACTCGACCTCTGTCATAGAGGCACCCAAGCCAAGCTAGCAGGCAAGCACGAGTAGCTGCACATCGTAGCTTGGTGTCTCGTCTGCCCTGCGTCCGACGACGTCTGGTACTTTGACCACCCTTGGTGCCACTGCGGTGACCAGGGCTGTGAGTTTGCACTGCGATGAGGTTCAGGAATCTTGAGTCCCACGCTGCCGGTCACTGCATCTTGTTCTTCCGAGGATGCTTGCTGATGGATTTATCAATCTGATGCGGCAAGATGACCCGAACCCGGTGCATGCAACAGCCCCCGTTCTGTTGACTCGACCCACGCTGGTACGTTTTCAAGCTCGTCCGATATACGATGGGTTAACAAGTCTAGATTAGGAACAATTAAATAGGACGGCGGCACGGTTTAGAGCTCGAGGACCTCGGCCGTCGACCACGAGACGTCCAGGACGTCGAGGAAGAAGTCGAGGCAGTCGGGAAGGTCGGGCAGCGGCTGCGGCGAATCAAGGCAAGTAGGGGCCGGCTCGGTCTCGGGCCGGAACGCGTGCTGGACCCGGAGACCGCGTTGGTGGCGCGCGAGCTTCTCGCGGTATTTCTGGGCGTGCGTCTGCGTCTGGCGCACGGACCGCGTCTTGATGACCTGCGCGATGCTCTTCCACGGCCCGTTCGGGTAGAGCTGCATGGCAGTCAAGAAGCGGTCGTGCTCGTCGGCCGTCCATGTGCCCTTGCCTCCGGACGGCTCGTACACGTCGCAGGTCGTCATCTCGAGCGTCATCTTGCGAGTAAATTGGCAACTGCGGCGTGGCTGCGACCCTTTTGTTTATTGGTGCAGTGGGAGTTAACGTGAACAGCGCCACGTGGTCCGAGGTTCAAACAGCTGGCCAAGGAACGGCGACGAAGAGACGACGAGCAGCGAAGAAGACGAGCAAAGGCGTTTGGCACATCAGAATGGTTTACGTACCCTTGGCGGCGCATCGACTCGTAGCCAAGCAGACGTGTATATATCGTCGACAGCGCATTGGCACAGGGACCCGATATGAAATGAGAGTCTGCGTCCTTTGGCCGAAGCGCAGATTCGGACAGCCTAGCTCTGGACAGAGGGGTTGGTTCTTGGTCGACACGTCAACGACGAGGGCGGAAGGAAGACTTGCATTCACAACTGACGTCTGGTCCGAACGTCTAAAATCTAAAATCAACTGTACAGTAAGCCAACACATGTGGCAACACAGATGGCCAATGGATCGAGTGGCCTCCTCATGTCCACAGACAAGGCACGTCGTAGGTAACGAGCGGCCGCCGATTACGGCGCGGCGCGGCTATCGCGCGAGCATGACGTGACACCAATGGTCTTCGCTATTGTCGCGAAGAAAATGCCAAGAACGAAGACAAGGTGAACGGAAGATCGGCCGCGACGGACGACGACCACAGCACGTCTGTCGGGTGTCGGGTGCTGCAGAGACACATCGATGACCAGTGTAATCGGCTTCAACCAAGGTGCTTGCTGGTGGCCTTGGTCTTGCCAGCAGTCTGGCTCTCAACAAACCATCAAGCAAGTCCACCAGTCAAGTGCGCTTCTAAACCGCTCAGGATGTCTTCCAAAAATGCAAAAATACTGTAATCTGTCATCGTAGGGATGTATCGTTTGCTTGGAATAAATAGTCAATCGCACTAGCATCTACAGGTCGCGCTCGAGGAGTCCGATGAGAAAGTCAAGGCAGTCGGGCAGCGGCGGCAACGAGCCATCGTCGCCTTCGTCGCTCCAGCCGCCGGTCTCGTCGTCGTTGTCCACCGGCGACGCAATTGCCTTGTTCGGTGCCATCGGGCGCGTCGTCGAGATGTCCCGAAGCTCCTCGGGCTGCAGAATGTGCTTGGTGCGCAGCCCGCGGCGGCGGCGTGCGAGCTTCTCTCTGTATTTCTGGGCGTGCGTCTGCGTCTGGCGGATCGTGCGCGTGCCGACAGCGTCTGCAATGCTCTTCCACGGACCGTTCGGGTACATCTCCATGGCGGTCAGGAATCGCTCGTGCTCGTCCTTGGTCCATGTGCCCTTGCCCTCGGCGGCACTGGTCGCGTTGGCGTCAACCGACTCGAGCATCAGGTGCAGCATGCTCCTGCGTAATATTCAATTCTGGCGGTCCAGGCCAGCGCCAAGTCCAAGACATGTGTTTTCACGGAACACGCGCTGCGCTTCAATCTTTCTCGACAAAGCTTGTCAAATGTGATCAGATCTCGCGACGACATCTGAGTCGGTGTGGTACGAGCGGCCAGAAACAGTGCAAGCCCACTCGATTTGGACCCAACGTTTGTATTACCAAAGCAACCCTGCGCGTCGTCTCATCCACAAACAAGCCTGCAGTTCGTAGCAACAACTCGGGCCTTTTCCGAGCGTTCCGAGAGCGTGTAGTGTGAGCATGGGACATCTCGTTCGTCGCGTTTGCTCCGCGGCCACCTTGCGCCATGAGCCCTTTCTTCGCAGTCAATTGCGTGGGTGCTACGAGGCGTCGAAATAAAAAGGGCAGCCGCCGCCGCAGACACGACCACAGCTGACGCGGCAGCTGGCAACGCCGCGCGTTCGTCAGCCCCATCTGGCGCCAAGGCGCACGTCTGTGAGTAAACGCTCGGGGGCAGAAGCGCGCGCCGACATGTCCCGGGCCCATCGCCACCGGCTTGTCGCATGCTGGATTTTCTTGCGCCGAGCATCCAGCGAATGGTGTCGCGCCGCCAAAGGAATTTCTCCAATGTGTCTCGTTTGCCATTGCGATCGCGGAAAGCCGCTATTGAAATAACCCGAATGAGACGCTCGTGAGAGAAGGTCAGTCCTTCCGGGGGAAATTCCTTCATTTGTCGGGATTGGTATCCGACATGCGACACACCCAGCCATGTCAATGAAACAGAGCGGCTTTCCGACAGAGGCTGCGCTGCAAGCGCTGCATCCGCCTTGGTCGCGAAGCGGCAATTTATATCCAGTGGACGTGATACAAGCACCCGACTACCACTCGCTAGCACCTACGACGCCTTACGATGGTCGGCGGTTCTGGTCTACAGGCCAACGGACGAGAAGACCAAAGTGCACACAAGTAGTAGCAACTTGATTGTGTATGTTACATGGCTCGGGAGCCCGACATAATAAATATCGATCAGCGTTGTGGATGGTTGGTGTTTCCTTCTAAGCAGGCACGGAGGAGGAACGCTTTTATTCGGCAAAGTAGGCGCCGCGCTGCGCCGAGACGGGCTGGCCACGGCCGGCGTCCGACTTAACCGGATCCCAGAGCATGCTGCGACTCTGCTCGCCCTTGATCGGGTCCCAGAGCAGATTCAGGCTCTGGCTCATCGGCGCCGAGTCGTAATGGCTGTTGTAGTGCGTCGTCGACTGGAGGTACGAGGTCGTCGGCGGCAGCGACGAAACAGGCGGCGGCGGCAAGTAGTGGCTCTGGTCCTGGTACGACGGCGTCGATGCCGGCGGCGGCATGTAGCTGTGCTCGTACTGCGGACGGTGCGCCGGGTGGGCCGGCACTTGGTGGTGCTGGCTGCTGTAATGGCTCACGTGCTGGTACGGGCTGTGGTAGCTCGGGTAGTATGCATCCACCTGGGCCTGGTACGGTGGGATGTACGGCGTCGGGCGCAGCGCCATGTCGTTCTGAACGACGTGCTTGGTGCGGAGGCCGCGGCGGCGGCGCTCGAGCTTCTCGCGGTACTTTTGGGCGTGCGTCTGCGTCTGGCGAATCGTGCGCGACTTGACCACCTCGGCGATCTTCTTCCACGGGCCGTTCGGGTACATCTCCATAGCGGTGAGAAACCGCTCGTGCTCCTCCTTGGTCCACGTGCCCTTGCCCTCGACGGGCTTGGGCGCGTCATTGCCGAGCGTCGTCGGCGTGCTCGCGGCGGTCGACGGCGCAGTGACCACCGGGTCGACGAGGCTGCTGATCTTGTGCTGGGGCGAGAGTGCGAGCGTGAGGCCCGCGCTGTCCGTTTTGAAGGATGCGGGCGGGGTCAGCGAGATGGAAGCCATGAGATTCAAAACTGGGCGACGTCGCCTGGGTGTGACTGGTGACTGGAGAATTGGAAAGTGAAACTCAGATTACACATGTGTAGTACTGCGATACGTGCATGGGTGCGAGATGTGGGGCAGGCCCAGCTGGGCGCGAGGTGTCGCACACAGCAGCTCTGCCCCAGATACAGTCTGGCCGACCTCTATGAACGGTACGCAGCGACGTTCGTCGTCGGCGTCGTGGGACCGACCGTGCCAACCAATATTCCTAGCCATAGAAACGTGGCCCGCTTCGTATCGCATACGTCGCTCCCCGCACAAGCAGCGACAGTCGCGACCACCGTGGGTCTTGATCAGGAGCATCCAGGCGCGCGATCCAGGATCAGCAGACAGACTGGTACACTCAGCTAGACTACACCCACACCACGTACACGAATGCGCTGCATGATGCCGGTACGGGCAATGTCAGCCAAGTGGATGGAGTGTCCAAAGAAGCGTTGGACGCCACCCGAGTTACACCGAGGGCGGACGGGGATGTGAAACGGTACCAGCGCTGCATGGACGCCGCAGATGCCAGACATGAAGAAGGGTGGCCACCAGCCGGGCGCCCGTCTCGCAGGATCCTGAAGTTGCGCACGGCACCGCCACCACACAAAGGCACAGCCTTGTACCATCACGGGTCGCGGAGAGAAATGATAACTTAGAGTGAGCTTATAGGAACTAGGGCTAGGCACAGGACGGCTGCATCGCGCTCGGGGGGTCTAGCATCGCAATCAAAAAATCGAGGCAGTCGGCAAAGCCCGGCACGACGCCAATATCGTCCGTGTGGTAGTAGACCTCGGGCGCCAACTCGTCCTCGATGGGCGCGACGGGCAGCGCCGTCTCAAACACAGGGGTCGTGCGCAGGCCGCGGCGTCGACGCTCGAGCTTCTCGCGGTATTTCTGAGCGTGGGTTTGCGTCTGGCGAATCGTGCGGGTGGCGATCAGGTCTGCGATCGCCTTCCACGGGCCGTTCGGATACCGCTCCATCGCCTGCAAAAACCGGAGGTGCTCGTCTTGGGTCCACGTGCCCTTGCCCTCGGTCGCGCTCTCGGGGGTCATTTAGGGTGTTTAGGGTTGGAGCGGAAAACGCAAATGAGTGCCAAGAGGCGTGCGCGTTCTGCACGTCGGAGCATGGACGCACGCGATCATCATGCACTGGATACTCGTTCCATGACGAGACGATTCGTGTCCTTTCTGCCTGCGAGGTGTCCCAGCCGCACGTTCTATCACGAAACGCCCACTTGGGTGATGATTGGCTAGACAACCTGTACACGTTAGTTGCTGCAAGGTCCTAAGCACGGCGTCTCTACAGACGCACCATCCATCGCAGAGTACCGCGCGCCTACTCTCGGCATCAGCAGAGCTGTCGTGCACCCTGGATGGCAAGCCCACGTTGTACAGCACCGCGGGCCCTCTGGTGCCCCGCTCACAGAGAAACGTCGGCCCTCGGTACCGGCGGACCTGCTCTCCCTACTACATGCCAAGACGCTGGTGGCGACCCGCTGGATTTCCGCAAGGGTCCAAGCGAATGTGCGAGATGGGCGTGCAAGCAGCTACGTGTGTGCTACAGTGCTACAGGGCGCACGGCGGAACGTGGGTGTCATTACGCGTGAGCTGTGGTGGCCCGGAGCAATACATAGTGGCCGCGATCCCACTCTGTCTACTAGTATTTGGTTTCTGGTCGAGGCAGTCCGAGGATGGAATGCCTCGAATTCGTTCTTGCGAGAGTAGCATACTACATTGTAGCCGTAGGCACGGGCCGCCGTGTCCGCGCTGCTTGTGTTGGTCTTGAGGTGCAACCTGGATGCACCGCTACGTCAGACTGATGGCATTTTCGTGGAACGGAGGAGCTGCACCAGCCGATCACCAGCTACCCTGGTCTGTACCCTGGTACGCGGCCAACCATTTGAGGGCCACGTGGCCACATCGGTGACGTCGACGCGTCAACAACCGTGCGCAACGCCGAAGGAGCAATCAGACGACCAAGTTGATGAGTTGACCCAGAGAAAAAGAACGCGAAATAACTGAGAAGCTTGCTCGGCGCGCGCCCCGTGCTCTGCAGCTTGTAATAGAAAGCTGGCAGAATGTATCCGTCGGCTTGGGCGAAGGAGGCAGAAGCAGGATCACTCGCGAATGGACACGGGACGACGCTTCTCCATTGGGTGTTCGTTGCCCTTCCACTCTCCTCTCTGTAGAAGACCGGGACACATCGTAGCAACCAGGCGCAGAGGACTGTACGCTGCACGTTCTATCGCGCGGTGCAGCAAAATGTCCACACTCCAAGGCAATGCCTTCTCTTCGCCTCCGGAACGGAACCAGGCGGAGGAGAGTCTGTCGAGAGAGAGTGAGAGTGGCTCGGTGTTGAAGTTGGTGCTGCGACACGTCGCCGAATGCACAATCTGCGAAGAGAGCGCTTGGGCACCAGTCGCTCATTTTTGGTTTTTGGTTTTGGTTCTCATGTTGGTTGACGCTTCTTCGCCCCGCAGCACCACATCTTGTTCGTCGTCTTCTTCTTCTTCGTCGTCGTCGACGAGCTCGCCGGCCTCGCTTCCGTCTTCCCCGGACTCGAACGGAACCCAGTCCGGGGAAGGGCGCGGGACGTGGACTAAGGAGGAACATGAGCGGTTCCTGAGCGCGATCGAGATGTACCCGAACGGCCCTTGGAAGGCTATCGCCGAGGTCGTCCACACCCGGACGATCCGCCAGACGCAGACGCACGCGCAGAAATACAGAGAGAAGCTGGCGCGCCGTAACCGAGGGTTGCGCGCCAAGACGCTTGTCTCGGACGACGTCGCCTTGTACCCGCACCCGTACTTTGCGGCGCCGATCGGAGGAGGGTCGAGCATGATGACCTTTGTGCCCTCGTACCCCGAGTCGATGGACTACATCATCTCGGTGCTCGAGAAGGAGTTCTGCCTCTGAGCAGGCCCACTCTATTTACTTTGTGTTATTTAAAGAGGTCGAGCCTCGCCCGTATAGCGTTGTCATCTCTTTCGTGTCTTCCCGTGTTGCTACCTACTAGTAGTCAATTAGTCGATTCCTCGACGCTTGAACGAAACCGAGTGAAACTGGCATGGACGCGCGGGCCTCGCAGCTCCTCGAGCCGGTGCGCGTGCCACCCAAGCTCTTGGACCGCGTCGAGAAGGCGCAGAAGCGGCTCCTCAACAAGGACGGTGCGCGGCTTTTATTCTACTACGTCAGTCGACTACAATGTACTAGCGTTTTTCTTCGACTCGAAGCCGTCGGCTGCGAGCCCGAACGCGCGCAAGCACCTGCCGGACGTCGTTCTGCGCAACAAGATGATGGCGTTCGAGGCGAAATGGAAGTGCAAGTCGAAAACGAGTCTGTACTACGACCCGCTCGACACGTCGCTCGACCGCCTCAGCGTCGAGGAGCGCGATTTGGTCATGAACCGGATTCAAACCAAAGTCGAAGAGATCACCGAGGCGGTCGAGGCCAAGTACCGGCGCAAGCAAGCCGCGCTCGACACGCAGGTACGATATGTCGACGCAAGAAGATAGCTGCGAGGCGCTTGTTAGGGCGTCTTTGACCACGACGTCAACGCGCGCCGGGTGCAAACCATGTGCCTGGTCGAGCTTCAGCGCAAGTGCAACATCGACCGCATCAAGGAGGCGGTCCTCGACGAGTTTGAGATGGAGCGCAACCCGTACGTGCTCCGACTACGAGCGCAGTGGCACAATGTGACTGTAGACTCGCTGTCAAGGGCAAGCCCCGGCACGCGTCGCTCAACGTCCTCAACGTCTTTCTCAAGAAAGCCGAGAAGGCCGAGATGGCCGGCCCCAAGAAGCTCCAGCGACTGCTTCGCAAGCCGCGCGACGTCGAGCCCGTCCAGCCGCAAGAGAGCGGGAGCAACCAAGTGGTCGACGCGGCCGAGACCGCCGCCAAGGCACCGCCGGTCGTCAAGCCCGAGCCGTTCAAGCCGCGCGCCGGCGCCGACGAGCTCAACGAGCGCCAAGTGCTCCTGAGCCGGCACGCGCCGGTGGTCGGTATCATCAACGCGCTGCGGGCGACCGAGGCTGCGGCGAAGCGTCCGAAGCGGCGCCAACTGCGCGTTGGCGACGACGTGGCCGCCAAGCCCGTGACGGCCACGGACGAGTGGACCGTACTCTTCGATCGTCCGCAACAATTGTCGAGGATGACGCCGACACTAGGACCGTCCGCGCGTGTTTCAGGCGCTCGGCGCACGCTGCGCCATGGAGCTGCACCGGCGGAGCGAGAAGGTGCTCTGGGACTTTACCGCGCCGCCGATCGACTACTCGGAGGTCGTCGCGCACCTCGCGCCGCTCGTCGACGCCTGGCGCCGCCTGTAGGCAACTCATTTTCCCAAGCACTGAGAATCGGGCGTAGGCATCTGGAGGCGCACACGGTGAACAGCGTCGCGTCCGAAGACGACACCAAGTAGGTGGGCCTGTGCCCCCGCCTTTCATTCGCGCGTCTCGCGTAGGCTCGTGCGCCTCACCGAGCGCCGCCGGCGCCAGGACCAAAACTACCACAAGTGCCAAGACGCCATCAAGGCGCGTCTCCGTCGTGACCACGCGACATCGGCCGCTGCACTGCCACCGCCACCGACTCCGAACATCGAGTGGACACATCCTCTTGCATCAAAGACGCTAAGCACAATGGGTAGGACGGCGCCGGCCGAGCCAGAACGAAATCCACTGCAACAGTACCGGGCGGCGCTTCTGGCGTCCCGACCGAGCACGATCCTTGACGTCCGGCTCAACCAGCTCGTGCACCGCAAGGTACACACGTGCTTGAAGCACCGACCAACCTGTGAGCTAGCTCGAGCGGAACCCGTCGGCCACGCGGCGGCACCCTGTGGCCAAGGCGACGTCATCCAAGCCGACTGTGGGCCGTCGCATCGAGGCGCGGCTGGCCAAGCGGCGCGAAGGCGCGATGACATGGGAGTGGCACATGCCCGAGAACATGGCCAGCGACAGTACGGCCGAGGAGTTGCCGCCCACGCCGCGCCTCGGAGCGCCTGCTCCTGTGGACGCCAGCGAGTCGACGGTGTCGGCGTCGCCGTCCCGCACCAAGTTGCAGCGCATGATGACCATGACGCATGCGTCGGACGGCCGCGCGTCGCTCCAAGCCCGCCTCGAGCTCGTACGTCGATCGTTTCGAATCTGAATCTGAATCTGAACCTCTTGTAGGTGTGGACGCAGTTGGACGTGCCGTACCACCTCAAGCTCGCCATGATGGAAAAGTATGCCATGCAGGACGAGCCCGAGGTCTTCTCGACCGCGCTCCGCCTCTGGGAAGACGCCGCCGAGGTCGTGATCTTGCGCGAGCAGATCCTCACGGTTCGTCGTCCTCTACCTGCTATTACCAGCGATGTCGCTACTAGCTCCTGCGGTCGGTACACCAAGGCTGGCTCCGCAACGAGTTCCAAGAGCACATGGACCGTCTCGACATGGATGCGCTGCACCGCCTCCGCATTGCCCTGCCTCTCGAGTGGTCACCCATCGTGTTCGAGACCTGGGTACCGCTGGAGGCTGTTGCCGTGGACTGCATTGTGATTACGTAGGCACAAGCGGCACTGCCGCTCATCACGGAAGAGTGCCACGCACGGGCCGACCAGTTGCACCTCGAGACGGCCGACGAGCTCACGTTCCAAGGCCATGCGTACCGTCCGGCGCTATAGCCGCGCGTTGCTACGCTGCTGTGAATTGCGATATAAACACACAGCGATCGAGTGCATTACGTCTCGGCGAGAAGCTTGGTGAGTCGGATTTGCGTGATCTTGGCCTGCTCCTGGGCGGCGACAACGAGCTCCGACGCGGGCGAGTGGCGCAGCCGATCCTGCACGATCGCGAGCATCTCGGCCGCCGACTTGCCCGTCGCGCAGACGATGTAGATGTAGCCAAACTTGGCCTACGTCCGTGGCTGCGGTTGGACGTACAGAACCAAGCACGCACCTTGTACGCTTGGTTGCACGCGCTGAGCTCGTCCAGCGTGGCGGCCGCGGCTTGCGCTGCCCCGCTCTGCTCCTGCGCCTCCCACGTGGAGATCGTCTGCGTCTTCGTGCCGATCTGGACGCGACGTTAGGCGAATGTTGATGCGTGAGCTGCAGATCCTCCTCACCTCGGGATGCGCCGCAAAGGCCTCGAGCCAGTCGGCGCGCCCAAGCTGGGCGTCGACCGTCCTGGCCTTGGCCAAAAGATCCTCGAGAGACGCGAACGGACGCTGGGCGAACATGAGCTCTACCCACCGGCGCGAGCCGCAGCAGTGCAGTAGCTTGGTCCGCCACTCATCGCTCGTCCACGACGCTTCGGTGGCCATCGCTGGTCGCCACGATCAGATTGAAGTTTGGATTCGCAATCCGGATGGTATGCACGGTGCACCTCTCTATCGCTCTCGGTTAGGAACGTTATAATGTTTATAACGTTATTACCTCTTCAACGGTCATCGGGCAACTGGCCTTTTATCGAGGGACTCGAGCACGGAGCCGCTCGTTATCGTAGACGTGACGAAGATCAACGCATTGGCAGACAATGCAGGTAAATTATGGAGGAAGATGTCGTTATAGGCAACGCCAGATAGACCGTTCAGGGTTGACGGCCACTCCGAACCAGTACCAGAACAGAGTTATGACACATATCTAACGTGTACTTGGCTGTGCCAATTGTTATGGTGCCTCAAGATTCATTCCGGATACACAACAGCGGTGTCGGATATGTCCGGATAATAGACGCATGCACCCGGATAACGAGCCAATCAAACGAGCTCGACCCACGTGGCGACTGTGGCGATCCCCGCTTGACGATCGCCATTGCTCATTGTTCAAAATGCTTCGCCTGACTGCCACCCGCCTCTGCCGCGCGCCGCTCGCCGCCCGCACCTTCAGCTCCGGTGCGCATCGCATGCCAGGTCGCCTCACTAACCTCCGCTGTAGGCAGCTGGGAGTACATCAAGACCGACGTCAACGGCAAGGTGGGCATCATCCAGCTCCACCGCCCCAAGGCGCTCAACGCGCTCTGCGACGGCTTGATGGGCGAGGTCAACAAGGCCGCCCACGCCTTTGACAAGGACGACAACATCTCGGCCATCATCCTCACGGGCAGCGACAAGGCCTTTGCCGGTACGCTTCGCCGCTACCTCGAATTCCACGACATTGGCACTGTGTAGCTGGCGCCGACATCAAGGAGATGGCCACGCGCGAGTTCATTGACGTGTACAACTCGACGATGTTTGCCAACTGGGGCGACATCACCAAGGTGCACAAGCCGGTCATCGCGGCCGTCAACGGCTTCGCGCTCGGCGGCGGCTGCGAACTCGCGATGATGTGCGACTTTATCATCGCGGGCGACAAGGCCAAGTTTGGCCAGCCCGAGATCAAGCTCGGCACGATCCCCGGTGTCGGCGGCACCCAGCGCCTCATCCGTGCCATTGGCAAGTCCAAGGCCATGCACTTGGTGCTGACGGGCGACATGATTGACGCGCAGCAGGCCGAGCGCGACGGGCTCGTGGCCAAGGTCGTGCCGGCGGAGAAGCTCATGGAGGAGGCGCTCGCGATCGCCAACAAGATTGCCTCGCACTCGCGCCCGATCACGCGCATGGCCAAGGAGGCGGTGAACGCGTCGTACGAGATGTCGCTCCAGGAAGGTCTCAAGTACGAAGGCCGCCTCTTCTACGCCACGTTTGCGACGCACGACCAGAAGGAGGGCATGGACGCCTTTGTCAACAAGCGCGCGCCGACGTTCAAGCACCAGTAAACGACTAATCGGTTCTCTGTTTTGGTCCATCTTGCATTAAGGCTTAGGCAGTGGCGACGGAATATAGGACGTCAAAGAGGACGACAGCGATCTGGATCGCTTGGGCCTGGACGCCCATCTTGGAGGCCATCGCGAGGAAGCTCTGGGCGTGGGCGACCCGCTCGACAGGCGGCGGCGGTGGTGGCGAGCGCTGCGACGACCGGTGGCGAGCGAGGAACTTGCGGACGCCCTTTTGAATGCGGAGGACACCGGCAAACCACTTTTCAAACTCGAGCATGCGCATCGACTTGAGGACAAAGAAGGACCGGCGCAGCGACTCTTCTTCGTGCGAGATCATCATGCCGAGGAACTGGACCGCCACGAGGTAGCACGAGTACTCGGCCCAGAGATAGGGCCACGGCGCATAAGTCAAGTAGTGCGACGCAAAGAAGACGAAGAGGAGGACCATGGCCCACGAGACGCGCGCAGCGTACACGTAGCGCACCTTGAAGCCCGACCGGTGGGCGAACAGAATCGCGTTGAGGAAGCCCATGAAGTACACGTTGGGCTTGGTCGCACTGAGCTGCTTGTCCGAGTGCGTCACGATGAAGCTCCGGCCGACCTAGCCATGCTTGGACCGACCCGTACGAACGGCTCGATTACCTGGAGAAGCAGCACCATCGTCGCGCCCATCTGCAGCACAAGGACGCCGGTCGCAAATATTTGCGCCGACCGCACGTAGCCGCCCTTGGTCGCAACGAGCGCCTCTGTTTGCTTGGTCAGCCGCTCCTTCACCGACTGGCTCGGCGGCAGCGCCCGCTTCTGCTCGAGGATCGCGATGGTTACGTGGTTGGCATCGACATCGCTCTCGGTCCCGCTCTCGTCGACGACGTTGCTGGCTTTGCGCAAGTACATCTCAAAGTACTTGCGGCCGAGGAGGTACATGAAGTAAAAGCTGAGCAGGTAGAGCGGCACGACGATCGCAAAGCGAACAATGACCGCCATGCTGTACTCAAACTTGAAGTCCTTCATGAAGAGGAGCTTGATGTCCTGGATGCCCAGGACCACTTGCGAGAGGAAGACGCCGAGGACTGCAAAGCGGATCGTCATGTAGACGTTCTCGTGGATGTCGCCGCGGTTCGGGTTCTCGTATGGGTGCGGGTCGATGAGGTACCACATGCGGCAGAAGGCCTCTTCGACGTCGTGGTTGCGGAAGCTCAAGTTGCACGTGTCCATGAGGTGCTCCTCCGAGTAGCTCTTGCCAAAGAGGTCTAGGGGCTCGTCGTCGTCGAGGCCCGTGAACGGCAGCTTGAGGGCGTAGTTGCGCCGGCGAATGAGCTCCTGGCGGTAGTGCGACACCATACCGCCGATGATCGCAATGCCGTAGTTGATCGTCTGGTAGATGATGTCCGAGATGTTGTCGTACTTCCACGTCTTGCCGTTGCCGTACGGGATCGGGTCCATCCAGTGCAGCGAGACGCCCTGGACGAGGAGGTACGTGAAGAAGATGGTCCACCCGAGCACGCAGCTGTGCAGGAAGCGCATGCGCGTGATGCCAAAGATCGGGATGATGAGGATCATGAGCGGCAGCACCGGGCCGGTCTGCGCCTGCACGGGCTTCTTGAAGATGAGCGTCATGGCGACGACGAAGAAGACGGCGAACGTGATGCGCTCGATGCGCTTGTGCATGGACTCGAAGAAGGTGAGGAGGAAGCCAATGAAGAACGCCGGCACCGAGACGCCGAACGAGAGAATGTAGAGCACGAGCCGGTTCGTGTCCGGAAGCTCGCCTTCGGGCAGCGGCGGCGGAATGCCGGCGCGGCGACGGAACAAGTCGAGGTGCGCTTCGTACGCGAGGAGCGCGCCGAGGAAGAGCGACCCGACGATGAACGTGAGGCGCACGCGGACGACGCTTGATTCTTGTACATACGCGAGGTACCCGACCTCGTACTCGGCATCAAACTTGAGCGTGCGCGGGTGCATGCCCACGCGCTCCTGGATAAGGCCAAACTGGTGCACGGTGTAGTCCTTGGCCTTCTTGAGCTTGAACGTCTCGGCGAGCGACCGGCCGACCGGCGCCTCGCAGGCCTTGAGGATGAGCGGCGTCGGGTCCTCGACGTAGTTGGCCGCGCGCATCGCACTCGGGTGCTTCGATCGCTTGATCTTCTTGTTCGATACTAGCACCCGCGTCTCTTGTTCGAACTCGTTTTCGCGCGCGTGGTGGTCGGCGGGCGTCGAGATGGCGGCGAATGCATGCGGCAACTCGGCGGGCGGCTCGGCGGTGCGCAGCGTGGACGGTCGACGCTGGGCCATGCGCGCAACCGTTGCGGATCTCGCGATCTTCGCCACCGAGGTCGAGTATCCGGATGTATCCGGTTGCGCCAGCGTAGCAGTTGGGCAGCAGTGCGAGAGAGGGTGCTGAGATGCAGACGCGGTCGCGCGCCGCCAAGGAGCTCCTGCTGCCGCCCGAGACGCAGGTGCACATCCAGATCAACATCATCACGACGCCGTCGTCGCCGACGTACCACTACTACACGCGGTCCCGGGCGACGACGATCACGTCCCTGCCACCCGCTTCGTCGGCCAAGACACTGCGCCGCCAGCGAAGGAGGTCCGCCGCCAAGAAGAAGGCGCTCAAGACGACTGCTGCGAGTGAGACGAAGGAGGCCTCGCCGGACACGAGCCTCGTGCCCGCGAACAAGCCGGCTGTCATCGAGCCCGAGCCCAACGCTGACGAGGCCGCCGACCGCCGCAGTCCGCCATCGCCGCCACCGCGAAAGCGCCGCTGCATCGACGTGGACGACCTGCTCGGTGACTGGAGTCGTCTGCGTATCACGACGCGCGAAGACCAGCTCGAAGCGTCGATGGCATCAACGTCGCTGACGACGACGACGCCGACGTGGCGCAACCCCTTCGAGCCCGCGCGTCAGCCGTTCGACAGCGAGATGGCGCAGCTCCTCGAGAGCATCCACGCATGCCACATCTCGCGCCCGCAGGCCTGCTGGGACGACCTCCTCGTGCAAATGTCGTCGATCCGGCTTGTGGCGCCGGCCTTCCAGCACGCTGCGCTTGAGTCGACGCTGTCGCGCTTCACGGGGCTCAGCCTCGCCGACTCACGCCACGTCGTGAGTTTGCACGACTACCAGTATTTACACGCCAAGCTCAATACGCTGGCACTCTAACGCTCTCCTAATCTACTTTCGGCATAGAAAGACAAAACACAGCAGAAACACGATGGGGTTTAGAGTACACAGCGGATGACCGACGACGACCTACGGGTTGGCCGCCGACCAGATGAC